TTGAAGTGTCTCTTCCAGAGATGGAGGAAGTGCAAGTAGCACATGTAATCTGCATTCTCAGTGAGATGAGGGACTTCCTGCAACCTGACTTCAATAAACATTTCCAGGAAATGGTAAGTAGCAGCAGCTTGGATCAGTGGCAGTAGTTGTCCTGGCTGATACAGAACAAGTGTCATGTCAGTGAGAAACCTGAGGCGCTCCTGCTTTTTCTATGACTACTGATACAGGAGAGCAGACCTGGAAGAGAAGTCCTGGGCTGTCACATTCAGTTTCTTGCAAGCAGAGCCACGATTGATGTTTTCTCTTTCAGAATTTGGAAACTCGGGCTAACCTGGCCTTGGCTTCCCAGTTCACAGCTCTGGATTATATTACGGTAAGGAACATACTGTGGTGAAGGCTGAAGGGAGCCACCTAGTGAAATGCTAAAGGTGGAGTAGAGGATTCTCTTAACCTCCCCATACATGTGGAAAGATATTACCCAGCTGTACTGCCCTCTGCTATGAAAGCATGCTGAATGGTGGGGCACCACAGAGGACATGCCATGTGGATTGGTGTCCTGCACGTTGATTCCAAACTGCAGTAATGGTGTCTTCTTTTGCGAAGGCATAGGCTCTGATTAAACCAAGGGGGCCTGGTCAAACAGTAGTCTCTCTGCTTGCAGGCAAATCGACAGAGAACTCGGAGCATGAGATTTTTGCGAGAGATCTTCACCACTGTGAACTGTATCCTTACACCAGGTATTGGCAGCCTGGTCCCCGACAGCTGTGTGGTGCATTTTAAGAACAGTTACTCCATTAACTTTACCTTCCCAATTTTAAGAGCGTGACTTTTCTGCAAAGACGTTGCTGCGCCTCAAGCCTTTAGAAGACAATGCAGCCTGGTTAGAAAGACTGTTGTGTATTTCTAGATTTGCTTGTATTTCTAGACTTACTGGCTATATCCATGGCAGTAAGAAACTCCTCCTTGGTACTTGAAACAGGAGCTACAGAGTCAGCACGTTTACACAGGAGGGACTGGACATCTACTTATATATGCAAATGTTCTTGCTCTAAATAGAAACTAACTGCTTAATTCATAAATCCCAGTAACTTGAATGCATTCCAGGGGTGTGACTTTGCATCACCAATGTATATCAAACATGTGGCTTTAATGAACTGAGTTGTTCCTTGAAGATTGCCCACTGCTGACTCTTCCTTTGCTCTTTAAGCACTGGATCAGGTTGGCCAGAGAGGCTGTGGAATCTCTATCCCTGGGGATATTCAAAAGCCATTTGGACATGGTCCTGGGCAACCTGTTCTAACTGACCGTCCTTGAGACAGAAGGTTAGACAAGATGATGTCCTGAGGTCCCTTTCAATCTCAATCATTCTGTGATTCCTCCACAGCTGTTGCTACCACTGCCCCAAGAATCTATGAATCTGACCTCTTGACTGGCAGTAACGATTTCTCCTTCGCAGTCCGGTCCATGAGGTAAGAAGAGTGCTACTTGCACTACGGAAGCAAAAGTTTGGGAACAGCTGGAGACTAGCTGCACTGAGAGCTCAGGCTGTAAAGCAGGAGACAGCAATCTTAGCTGCCTTTCCTAAAAAAAAGATGGCTTTGCTGCTGTCCCAAGTCAGGAATGCTGATGACAGGTTTTCCCCCAGGTTCATGCAGCTTGGTAACTTCACTGGAATTCCAGGCCTTGTGGTCCCCATTGGATATTCTACTGCTGGGCTTCCTATTGGCTTCCAGGTGAGCATTGGCTCTTTGTGAATGCTGGGTCACAAAATCCCCAGCTGGCTTTGTCCTGAACCACTATAACTGGGTTCCTGCTGTTCCACACAGCACACTTGAGGAGTTGGCAGGTATGGGTAATAAAGTTTTAATTTGTGGGTGAAGAGACTTGCCTCAGAGTAACTCACTCCTGAATGGCAGAGGGACTCTTCAGGTATCTGGGAGATAGATTTCTCTGTCTCCCTGTCTACTTGCATCAGTATCCACTATTTGTCACTCCCCTTTCCTCTATTTTCCTTATTTCTCCGTTCTGTAACTTCTTTAAGTCCTTCCTTGCTCTTCTCCCTCTTGAAATGGGTCTCATTTGAATGAAAGGTCCATGTTTTGTAATTAAAAGTCACATAGCTGCCTTCATCCCAAATGAAGTGATGCCATACTTACTAGGGTAAAATGGAAAAGCGTATGTCCTTTTGGTGCTGTTGGGGGGGGGGAAATCTAGTTATGTTTTGCAGGGCTTTCAAGAGAATCTGTATGTGATGATGCTACTTTTCCCCCCCTCCCCTCATCTTCTCCCAGGTCATGGCAAAATGGTGGGATGAAGCTGTTCTTCTGAGGATTGGCCTGAAGCTAGAGCAGTTTCGTTACCAGACCAAAAAACCCTCCATTTACTACGACATCCTTGCATGATGGAGTGACCAAGATGGGGAATAAATCTTTCTTTTCCTAGTCTGACCTGACCAAGTATTAGAGTGGACTTGTTTTCAATGTTCATCTGAATAAGGCTTAGTAGCAGGCCCACTTGAGGAATGGGGAGGAACAGTGACCTAAGCAGGCACTGATGCTGAGCAGACATAATTTCTGCTCCCTGTTTGTTATTGGGTGGCCCAGTTTATACTGGGGAGACCAACTTGTGCTCGCTAGATCCTCGCTTAGTTTTTGCCAAAAGGGGAAGCTGTAACTATCTTCTGCAACTTCTTTCCATGTAGGGGTCCTGTGTAAAGATGGAAGACAGTTGCATCTAAAGGACTGCATGAGGGCAGTTTGTACTACTGTGCATGGAAAGGTACAATCCCTAGACCTAAAACCTTCTCGCAGAACTCCTCCTGCTCCAGGATATAACAAAGGTACTGTTTTGAGGGGGAGAGGCAGCTTCCCTTAAGAAAGAATGCCTAGCTCCCTTGGAATGAGGAGGATCTTAACACACCTGCAATTAAGTAGTGTGTGTTGTGGCCCCTTACTTAGATAGTCCCTCAGAATAAAATAGAAAGCATATAGCTATGGAAATGTGACTGTGCTTCTGTCCCTTATGCCGCAAACAGTGTAAGGTCAGTCTAACTGTTGCATGAAGTATGGATGTGCTCGCTGCATGAGCAGTCCTACCTACCTTCAGCCCTATGTGCAAGGGGAGGAAAAAGCAGAGCATGAACCCCCATCAACTCTGTGACCCAAAGCCCTGGTTCAGGGTTCTGGCTTTCTATTGCACATCTCTCTTTCCCAAGCTAAGCCTTGGAGAGCCTCTTTTCTCCCACTGGTTGCTTAAGTATAAGCCTACTGTCATTTAGGTGTCCAAATGGAAGAAACTACTTGGTAATGTTGTGAAATACTACTTAAGGGGTGCTGAGCCAGCTATTACAAACAGGTGGTAACCAAAAGTAGGCAATGCTACTGAGCTACTGGCAAGAGTTGAAGCTGAGTGCAAGAAAGGTGTTGCACAAAGCCATGTGCAGCAAAGAGCTTGCTGTAGATGAGAAGCCAACTCCCCCTTATCCCAAGTGTACTTCCTTGAAGTAATCAAGGTAGAATTAAGACATGGATTAAAGATGAGGCTATACTACATAAAGCATGACATGGCTCTAAGCCACAGTACTGTGTTTCACTGAAAGGCAATGAAATGTAAACTCCCAAGTACCTGTACCCTGCCAGCAGCACTAGGGCCACATGAAAGATTAGAAGAGGCTTAGGAGCAACCAAAGCTAAGCATTTGTGTTCGTTTTGGAATAGCTTGCTCAGAGGCATCTCCTGTTGCCTACCTCATCAGGTATCCTGGGCTTGTGATCAGGCTGCTGGAGAAGCTGTCCTACAGACAGGAGCACAGAAGATCACTGTATTTTTACTTAGCTTGGAAGGAAAGAAGGAACAGAAAGTAGTTGCAGTTTCTCCCAAACTCAGTACAGTTTGGGGGTTTGTTTTGCCATACATACCCACTCTTTAAACAGAGCTAGCACTTTACTAATGGCTAAAGTCAAGTCAGATGGCATCCTAATGGAAGAACATTGCATTGCCATCTCCTCCTTAATTACCTGAGTTAAAGCATCAGCTGTCACCAGCATCCACAGTTAAATTAATTATATGGTTGATATTGTCTTTTATCTTCAATTCCTCTATGTCATACTGCCACAACTATTTTTTCACTAGATTCTAGTATAGTTCAGCTTTATGAAGAACAGTTTAAAAGCAAAGTATTTCCTCTATTATTAATGATAAGTTATTAAACACTACCAACATATCTTGGAGTGAAACACTGCTGAAATGCATTGTATAGCAATAAGGGAGTTAATAAGTGTTTGACAAGAATAAATTTCTGCTAGGAACATTACTGCTTGAAGGAAATGGCTGAATATTCCCTAATTTAATGCTACTACTCAAGGGATTAGAGATGGATGTTTAAAATAATCAATTACTATCCTGCTAGATGAGGCTAACTATTTCAAATACCTTCCTAAATGATACACTACCCTGAAATTATAATTTCAATATTTAGTTCATTCTCTGGGTAGAGTGAGGGCGCTCAAGTTACTAGGAAGACAGACAGGAGCTAAAGTAAATCATAGAATCATTTAAGTTGGAAAAGACCTTTAAGATCAGAGTCCAACCGTAAAGAGTTTGCTATTTTTTTAAAAATAATACTTGCATCCTGCTAACAGTGGGAAGAAAAAAGAACAGAGAGCTTTTACTGACTGACAGTAATTTTGTCTTTCCACACACTGCATCCTCCCTTTCCCTGAACTGGTATCACATGAGTGTACACTTCCAATGCAAGACTTCCCTGGTACTGAGGTTAATAAGATAAACCTTGCTCATCCTGGTGAAAGGCCCCTGTCTTTCCTGTCTTCCCGTGGCTGTTAGCTTATCCAAGTTCTACAGCAGACTAGTTCCTAATTGACAGCAGTTCTATCCCCACAGTATGCAATAGCAAGGCAGTTGTGTGAGCAAAATGGACACAGTGACCACACACGCAATCCTGTTGCTTCACATAGATATATGTATGGGTATAGATATACGGTATATACACATTGATCTTTTTTTATATATATAAAATAACACCTTGTTTATAAAGCGACATTTAATTGCCACTGGTTCCCTTCCCACCCCACAAAAACAATAGTATACAAAATATAAAATATTTTAAATATTTATAAACGCCGCAAGAAAAAAATAGAACTGTACGAAAATATTTTTTTTTCTGAGGTTCCCTCCCTGCCCTGGGGGAAGAGAAAGAGAAGGGGTACATATTTGGCCAGCCTAGTGTGCCTTGAGTCCATAGTTGTTAAGTGGGTAGGAGTATGCCCTGCCTAATACTATCCGGTCCCGGAGGAGCTTAAATAAGACATAATAATTGCAGAAAAGGATGAGGGCCATGGAGAGGGTATGGTTCCACTTTTCTGAGCGCAGCAGTGAGTAGAGCTGGTAGCAGACCACACTGCCTTCGATGAGAATCAGCAGGTTGAGCAGCCGTAATGGACGGTGAAAAAGGAACTGCAGGGAAACAGTTAGAAATGTCATTTTTATAATTTGTTGCACATACCCCTCCCAACTTTAACACTGCATAATGCTGTCGGGCATCACTGAGCTAGCAACCACTGTGCTGGGCAGAAAAAAATGTTTGTACTCCAACCACCATGCTTTAGGAAAAGCAGCATAAAAACCAAGGCATGTAAAAGTGTCATTTTGCTTGAGAAGGGACGATGGTGAAATAACGTATTGGCCCACTGACATACTTTCCCCTTTCCCTGGAAGATGTTAACTAGAACCCTCTTAAGAATATGCCACTGCCTGATGGAGAGCTGTGTCACCATGATGAGAAAGCACTGACGACGCAGCCGTTGCTTCCATCTTACCCAGACATCACTGTAATACAGCAATGGGAAAGCTTCTCTGCTGAGAACAGGTATTTTGTTTAGCAGCAACAGGCTGTTGTGCAGCACTAAACTCTGTTCTGCACAGCCTGCTCTGCTGCAGCTAGGTTTGAGTCTCTCCTCACTCCCACAATTATAACACGTCAAGCAAGAGAAGAGATACTTGCATAAAAGCGGGCATGGGACACATCTGAAGGCACTGCTACGTTGTAAGGCCCAACTGCTTTATACAGGCATCGGCTACGTCGCACCAGAACTCCTTGTGGCCATATTGTGTTTTCTGACCAGCTGTGGGGAAAGAATGCCGGAGCGTTAGCATCTGTGCTCCCAACTCCCTGAACGTGGGTTCACAGGAGTGGACTGCATCTTGAAGAATACCAAAGCCTCTGCCACAAGGGCATGTCCCAGCTCCCACTGGAAAAGCACAGAGAGGTGCCCACCAGATGGACTCTGACTGAGTAATGTGAACAAATGGCTCCCAGTGCAAGAACCTAGCCCACTGCATCGGAGGGGGCCATCCCCTGTCCCTGCACAAGCTACTTCTTCAGTGACCAAGAAGATCTCAGCGTTTGTTTCTGGGAAGGAACCAGCAGTGATTGCAGGAGCTCAGACAGCTCTCTAGAGCAGATGTTTCTATTTCTAGGGAACAGAAAGACCAGCAGAGTTGCACCTGTGACCCCTGGCACTGTGGTGAATGGGGACACTTCCTCAGTAGATAAGCATTGTCGATACTTGCTTATCTACCAGAATGTCTTCTCAGCCCCTTGCTGGGCATGCCAACCCTTGCCCATCCCCACACTCACATATGCTGTGGAGCATTGCTGTAGGAACCATGTTCTAGTTTCTGCCACTTGCCGAGGTGGGAAGCTGATCTGTGGAGCAGGTCACAGTACTTGGGAGGCAGCAGCTGAGTGGTGAGCATGACAAAGGCATTGATCCACACCATGATGAGGTGCTCACAGGACCAGCGCATGTCGTAGTACTGGGTGCTCTGCAAAGAGACCAGACAAGAACTTGGCACCACTGTCACAAAACAGAGGAGGGAATGACAAGGGACGTACTGCGTGTGCATCCAGCAGACCCACACCACACATTACAGGCATGCGCTTTTGGACCAGTGATTTCAGAAGGTTACAGCTTAGGAAACACTCAAGACTCCCTTCTCCTTGACCTGAAGGAGAAAGGGCAGGGGGATGATGCTCCAGCTGGTGCATCTCCTCCTCCAGCACCAAATAACAAGGGGGTTTGCTTGCCACAGAACTGCCCCAGGAGCACCAGTTGCACCAAGAATGCTACATGTATTGTGGAGCCCTGCCCATTTCACTACCACTGGAGCTCGTTCCAGTTAGAAAAAAGACAGATTAAAAAATACAACCCCCATATTGACAAGAGGTTCTTGGATTTAGCTTGCCAAGCATCCTAGTTGGCTCTGTTTTCTAACAGGCTGAACACCAAAGCCTCTGATCCAAGCACTCGAAAGCTGGGATGTTGGATCTGAGACAGGTAACAACAGGTTTCCCTTTTCTAGGAAAAACACAACTATCCATCTGCCTAGGACAGAGGGTGGGAGAAGGGGAGTTAGTAAGTGGGGTGATGGGACTAGAGGTGCATCACATTTATGGCAATACCTATCCACCAACCAGGAGCAGTACTAGTGCACTCCGGATGCAGCCATGCTCCGCTATCCGGGCTGCCAAAGGGGAGACAGAGAAAAGGGGAATTAACCAGGAATCTGGCCTGGCAGCAATTCACACAACATTCAGAAGGAGATGGTGGGCAGGGGCACAGAGAGAGCCAGACAAGAAATGCCACATAGTAGGCACTGAAGAGAGAGTTGAAGAGAACTTCCTTGATCCTGCGGTTGAAATCTGCTTTTAGGCACTCCACCTCATTGCGGATGAGATCTGGGGACAGGGGGCAGCTGTGGGTGGGGATAGATGTAGGATTATTGAACTGTTCTCTCAGGGATTCCCACAGAAGCGAGAGGAAATCTTTGGGTTTGACCATGCCACATAGTAGGCACTGAAGAGAGAGTTGAAGAGAACTTCCTTGATCCTGCGGTTGAAATCTGCTTTTAGGCACTCCACCTCATTGCGGATGAGATCTGGGGACAGGGGGCAGCTGTGGGTGGGGATAGATGTAGGATTATTGAACTGTTCTCTCAGGGATTCCCACAGAAGCGAGAGGAAATCTTTGGGTTTGACCAGGCTGCTGACAGCTGAAGCCCCATCATCCACTATCTGGTCCTGTACCAAGTAACCACAGTCCGCAGGTAGGGGCTGTGCTCTGCTGTCCTGGTGGAAGCAGCACAGAGGAACGTAGACGCCAAACCTGCAGGGAAAGAAAGAAAAAAAGGGCTAAAACGGCAGCCATCCCAACATGAAGCAGGGAGCACCTTCTCAACAGATGTTGACCCTTATGAGGGGGATACCACATAGGAACCCTCACTCAAAAAGCTAGTGGCCAACTCTTCTCCCCACTAAGAGGCTAGGGGAGAAGAGAAAACTCCCAAGACAGCTATGCAGAGAAGCTTCTTTAAATCCCATTTGTGGAACCAGTGATCCCAGTGGTTCAGTCTCCAGTCACAGTAAAGGCCCCTCACGCAAACAGCACGCTGCAGACAATTTGTTTCATAAGCTGAGCGCCACCTCTTCGCATCATCCTCAGCCATTCCTACTTCCCCTTTAATCGTAAGATGAAGAGACTTTTCTCTGCATGTCTTTTGGGGGCAGATTACAGCGAACAGCTCTGCATCCCATGGTGGCTCATGCCACCCCCAAGCGGCTATGCTCCCCCCATCCTGAAGGTACAAGGTGGTGTCACTCACGGGTAGCCCAGGAAGAGAAGGTTGAGAACAGAATGGCTGCGGAAGAGGTTGACCAGAGTCCAGCAGAGCACCCATCCACAGAGGGTGAGCAGCACCAGGCGCACTATGTAGTGAATCACTGATGTCGCACCCACCTGAGAAGCCTGCAAATAGAGAAGAAACATTCAGCAGCCCTGTAACGCTAGTGCTAGAACATGAGCACAGGGGGTGCCTGTGGAGGAGGAGCTGGGAGAGGGGTGCCCAGAGGCACTGTAAGAGGGATGGCCGCCCTCTTCCTCCCAGAAGTAGGAGACTGACTCTCTTACAAAGATGAACGCCTTTGATTTTATTCACGATTGGTAGAATCCAAAAGTTTCAAATGAGTACAAGTTGTTGGGCATGACTAAAATAGGGCCTTTTAAAAATCAGAGCTGCAAACTCCCATATTGCTCTGATGATAGTCTGGGATAGCCTGAAACACATTTCCTCTTGCTCTTTCCTTTAGAAGGATCAGGTCTCACCATTCATTTTCGTAAAGAACTGGAATGTCACAGTTCTCAGCTGAGGGAAAAGATGGTGCACTTTGGCAATCTCAAAACTAGATTTCCACCACTCATCTCTTCAGGATGTACAGGCTGCAGTCTAGTGAGGAGGCACCACCTTCAAAAGGATGGCAAGAAAGCTTGTTCCAATCTCCAGAGGGGAGAAGGCAACTGAACTATGGAAACATTCTTAGGGTTTAGAGCCAATAGATGGGATGTGGAAGAACTTGCATGGAAGGTTTCAATGCAGAAATTTCAGTCTATGGGAGGTTTTACGGAGGATGTGAACACAAATGAAAATGGCAGGAATCAGAGATGAAAAGAGAGCTTCAGAGATCCCATCTTCTCCACTCACCTATTCAACAGGACATAACTGTTCCTTTATTTTATTTATTTATTTTTAAACTTATTGCTTAGTTGCTTAGCCTGGAGTTGTATTAACTGTTTCAGTGGACAGAACTTCCATTTTCCTCAAAATGACCTTTCTCAAACATGTATTTGGCCTGATTCTGCTCTCACAAACACAGAAAGGGTCTCAAAATCTGAGGTGACGTGACCAGAGCCTCAGAGTTATTGAGTAACCAGGACTGGAAAAGCATTTCTACCAGCTATTCCTATTTCACTTTAGCGTACTCAGACGTCCTCCTCCTGACCTTTCCCCTCTAATCTCCTGTTCATTCTTCAGTCTTGGCTAACCTCCCTATCTGCCTTTCTGCTACCTGACTTGCAACTCTCTCAGCCACTTCTCTGGCACAAGATAGTGAGGTACAGTATTGCACCTGCAAGGATACAGAAGCAAGTGGGACAATTTCATCTCCTCCTAGCTGCAGAGGCAACAGAGCTACCCAATACTGCAGGACACGAATGGGCTCAAGGAGAAAACTCCAAGGCAGAAAGGCGTCCCCAAAATCTTAGTCCTTCCCAGCCAGACTTGTTCTGGGGGAAGAAACCCTCCAGCTATCCAACTCGTAGAACTTTCTCAGGCCATGGATGGTCATGCTCCGCAATCAGTACTACAGGCAGGAGAGGGAACAGTGGGAATGTTACCTCAGAGATGAGGGCCCACACCAGCCTCCGCGCCAGCATCACTGTGATGAACGCCGCCAGGTGGTAGTCAATGAGGTGAAAATTCTGAAGGAGGAAAGAGAAAAGGTCTTCACCAGGGAAAGCGACTCTGAAACCACCCAGATGGGGTGGGACTGGAAAGCTAGCTGCTGAGAGCACATTAGGACCTTGTGTAAGCATTCCCCAAATCTCTCTATTAGGGATGAGGGAGAAAGGATAAACTTCAGTAACACAGGAATGTCTCCAGAAGCAAGATCTTCCCCACATGGAGGTTCCTTCTGATGGAGAGATTTCCACTGAAAACAAAAAACCCCACCCTTCAGGAAGGTATTTTTGGGGTCAAAGGGACATCTAGGACCAGGATCCTACTATGGAGAACAGCTTGCAAGTTCTCCCGGGAAAAGCCACTGAGCAACTAGGGCAAGGGCAGCCAAAATGGAGTCCAGAGCACATCAGCTCACTTTAGCTCTTGGTCTCAGAAATGGTCTGTAGTGACCAGTGCTCCCTGATAATCAAGTTGATCTGAGAAATGTCATCTTCATGGGCCACAGATCTGCATTAGAAGTTAATGTTGGCTCCAGCCGCATCAAGTTAGATACAGCTCTTGGACCCCTTATGATTTTTCAGGGAAGCCATCAAATGTGTTCTGGCTAGAACAGTTAGCAGACTCTGAATACTGCTGTCTACTGCTGGGACTTCAAAGACATTTTAGGTGAAAAAGAATGCTTGACTTCTGATGGGAACAAACAAATGACCATTAAATCCTTTCGGGTAGGGAGCCTAAAACAGAATGCTTTTTCTTCAAAGAAAGCTGTGTCCAGCATCACATAGGTGAACTTGAAACTAATAGCTGGATAACTGGAACACCAGCACCACCTGTCGGTATAGTTAACTAAGAAACCACCTCATGCTTCCAAGCAGCAAGGACGCAATATAAACTGAAGAACCACTTCAGAGGCTAGCTTCACTCAGATGAGTGTTTGCTGACTCAGGTACAGGTCACTGCCACGTTGTGCAGCTTATTGGGCCAGGAAGAAGACTGAAACCGAGGAGACTGGAAAGTTTACATAAGCTGAGGACCTGACCCCCTTCCCAACTCCTCTGCTGCTGACCTGCTGTGAGATCCTAATGAAAACTTCCATCACCTCCCTTCTCTCAGGCTCCGTTGTTTCTACTGGGAAGGGCACCCACAGCAGGCTCCTAGAGTCTCAACTCCATTTCAAACCCTAGGGGCTAGCTAGGCCATGCAAGTATCTGCGAGAAATTTCCATTGAAGGGGTCCTGCTGACACCTCTCTCTCTCTCTCTCTCTCACCTTCCGTGTATTTTCTCCCCTGTAAAATGGGGGATGACATAGCCTTGGCTGATGGGGGTGCATGTGAACTCCCTTTCATCCCCTTAATGTCAAATGCTTGGTGTTCAAATGCTTGGTGTTTCCTGGACTGAGGAAGCATGGAAAGAAGCTGTGTAATGACAAAGCATGAGTGACAGCATTTGCTGGGGAACTCACCAGTGAGGTGCAGGAAGCAGGGTGATTGTACGGGTACCACCAGACAGTCTTGTAGATGTTGATGTACTGAATGAAGAGGGCTACCAGTAGGTAGATGAAGAACAGGAATTCAAAGAGAAGGCTCCCATCCAATGGCAGTTCAGGGATCCGGCAGTGACGTACAGGCTCTGGAGTAATCAGGGCTGTGATCGGAGGTGCGGAGAGGCTGATGGCACTACCATTCCTGAAGCAGATGGATATTGCTCACTTGGTAAACATTCTACATCATCTCTATCATTTTGCAGGACACGGAGTGCTTGGGGTTGTGAATTTGGGACTGGGTATTGCTAGAGGAGAGATGGCAGCAGTCTGGCGTTGATATTCCTGGCACAAGACTGGTGGTGAGCTTCATCTTCTTCTGAGCTCAGACAAAACCCTTATCCAGCATTTTCTCTAGGCAACAGATTGATCTGCCAGAGGTGCTGTGACATGCCCAGCAATATTTCAGTAAACTTGCAGACGGAGGGACAGAGGTACAGCGTGAGGAAGCAACTCCAAGCAAAAATCATTGAGGACTCTGTGCCAGACCGAGCATTTAAAGTTGGCTCCTTCCACCCATCAGTAGGACATTACAGTAGCACCCAGCCTCCTTCTCCAGTATTGCAAAGTACCCATCATCTTTCTGCTCATGGTTCCTCTCTTAAAAAGAGAGGTAACTAAAAATGGAATGGAGGAGTTCAGCCACTTCCTAGAGGCTGGCCTCTCAAGTGTTCTCACACTTCCTTCTTTCCTAGCCTTCAGAGGAGGCTAGGACAACTAAAAACTCCAGCAGACGAAACTGAGGGAGGAAGTTCAGACATAAACTATGCTGTGTCTGACTGAAACCAGGGTAAGCGACACTCCCCCAGGACCTTGGGGCACTGACTCCATGGTCTCAACACAGTTGCTTGCTCCTCAGGAATCTAAGACTGTGCCATCCATCCATCTGTCCCAGCCAGAGAAGTCTTTAAAGGCCAAAGCTAAATGGCTTGGATCTGTCTACTCTGTAAGGATGAATCTATACCAAGTAGATCAGGGCTTCAACATGCAGCAAATAGCTGCTCTAGTCTGCTAACTTCTGTATGGAAGGAAGTAACACTGGGCATTTTTAGTCTTTACGCCAAATGTGGAGATCTAAATGTCACCGTGTGTTCCTTTTTCAGCCCCCAACTTCCCCAGAAAATGGAGATGAGCTTTGCCAACTGTAAGAATTAGTTTCATCTGCAGCCAGCAGGGCTAAAACAGTATATAGGCATCCTGCTGCCCTGCCTTTCTATCACATAGGAGGGGGACTCACAGCTGAGCTCTGACACGTCACACTAACTCCCTGTGGCACTGCAGGCAAGCGAGCAAGAGAGACAAGAACTCATCATTGCTCTGGGAACTGCTGCAGGGAAAGACAAACTAAGCACTGTGTGATTTCCACCCCTGGCCGTTGTGACCATGGTGAGTAGTGAAGGGTGGCTGAGACCACTTCCACAATCCTCCCCACAGGGCTGATTTTAATGCATGAAGTCAAGACAGGGGCCGCAAAGGGAAGCATGTGCCACAGCAGAACTGAGAAGAGAAGCTGGAAGAGGTGTGTCATGCAGGGTATGTTCCCTCTTGGATGGGCCATCTCCTAATGCCACAGCAGAGGGCTTGAGGTTCCCATCTCCCAGTTCCTTGCTTTAACCACGAAGCCGCTCTCCCGTGCAGAGGTCAGAGCGGATCAAGGCTCCTAGCTTTTAGCGCTGTCCTAGCCCCAGGTGTCTCAACAACTCTACCTTTGTCCTCACCTGTTTCTCAAACCAGTACCGTTTCCGCAGCTCCCGCCAACCAGCGTCTGGAGAGAAGGCAAAGCTGAACGGCTTAGCTGCTGCCGGCTGGGTCCCCTCCTTCCACCGGGCATGACCAGGAACCAATCCACTTCCAGTGCCTCCGGCAGGCTGTGCCCTGAGATCCAGACAACGATCCCGAAGCCTTCCCAGGTCTGCAAAGGAAGCAGAAACATGACTTAAGCTGCAAACTGCTGGTCACCTAGTTTACACCCCAGCCAAACGAGTTCATGCAAAACGAAGCCACTCTCATACACTTAGAGCCCTGTGGGACACCCACCACCACGCTAAAACACTGTGCCATTTCAACGGCACCAGATCAGCATCTGCTTGCACACACAGAACGGACACCACTGACATTGTATCTTTAAAAAGCGGCTGCTTAAATTAGCCATCAGCGACTGCTAGCACTTCCTGTTGGCTGGAAAGCACCACCGAGCATCTCCAGTGCTGGAGACCACACAACTGCGTGCCTCGTTTCAAAAGCAAGCCTGGGAAGAGCCCTCTCCCTGTTCTGGTGTAAGGAGCCACTAGAGCTTCACACGTCTTTTTAACCACCCAACGCATCACTTGACAGGCTCTGATGCTGGTAGGTGATTTGGACCCCCTCTGCCAGAGAACACACAGACTGGTCTCCATGAAGTTAACTGCATGGTTCAGCTCTCTTCTGTGCTAAGAAAGGCCGACTGACATGGTAGTAGGATGTCCATTTAAAAGTGGTTCTAGTTAGCAGAGTAGTGCAGCAAAACACACATGTATGCATGTACTTAACATGCACATACAGGTAATCACATATCCCAGCCCTCAAAAAAAAAAAAAGAATTAAAAAGTAAGCCTGTAAATATTTATTTATTTTAAATGACAGATTTAAATTAATCAGTTCCTTAAAATTAAGTAGTATGAGAGAGGCTGGGCAACTCAGAATATCAGTAACAAAGGTGGATTCTCTGGCACAGACTTTATCACTTCCCATATGATTCTGCTTTTGTTTCATTGGTCTCCCACATGACACTGCAAGAATTTTGGCAGTCAGGTAAATTTCTGATGGCTAGCAGACATAAAAGAGTGAGGGGCTGAACTGGAGTGCGAATCTGGAAGTCATTCCAAGCACGCGTGCTGTACAGAATCAAGACACTGAGCAAGCATCTTGCTGCACGGACTCCGGTGTGTCTGCATGTCTGCAGATTAATCAGCTGCCCTTTTGGCAAAATATCATAGCCAGAACCAACCCAGGGTCCAAAAAAGCACCCCCACCTTCTGGGAAATTCGGGATCTAGCTTTGAAATTTACAGATGGAACCTATTGTCTATTTATAATTCAGTTCTCACCTTCTTTAAAATCCTGAGAAATCACAGCTGGTAGAAATACCAGGAAGTTTGCTCAATGAGTCACATCACTGTCACCAGGAACACAGTGTGCACAACTATTCTAAAAAACTCTCTTAAAGAATCGTCCTTTGTATTAAAAGTTCCCATCCTTCATCTCTACTCCAATAATCAATTATAAAAATTTCAACAAAAATCAAGACGTTTCAAAAGACGAATGCTTGCCACATACCCACATGAAGGTCCTTGCCAAAAAAAAAAAAAAAAAAAGTAAACCAGAGCTACTTGAACTTCGTTTGGAGCACAGTGAAGGCCACATGGGGGGGTTGGGGGGGAAGGAATTGTGAAATTGCATGAAAGCAGAGAGCAAACATTGGACAATTTGGATTTGAAGGAAAATAATCTGTTTTGACAGACATTATAACTCTCATTATAATTCCAGTGACAACACAACAGAGAATTGAAGCCTTTCTTACCTTTCTAGTGAAGAGTCTAAAGCCTTCAGAGGACTTTCTTTTGGATGTTCTAGAGTTTTATTTGGGAATATTTATATTTCAGGAATTAACTATGAACAGGAGAAAATTCTCCTGCATGCACAAGATGAGCAGGAGCAGCAACAGACAATGCAGAATTCACTTAGGGCATCCAGACACTTTACATAAGCAGCTAAGGTGAAGAAAAAAATGAGTAAAACCTCTAAAAGGAGCAACTTTGAAAGCCATTTTAAGCCAAATTAAACTATTACAGGGACCGTGGAAGCTAAAACAATTGGTCTGATTCAACCTACAGTATATTTATGATAACGGATGCAACACGTTGGTGGTCTAATTAGTGGTATTAACAGTGGGAAGTATTTTATGCCACATTCAAGAATTTATGTAAATAATTTAACAGCTCTTATTAGTACTATCCCATTAAGATGCTCCACATGCTCGCCAATATAGGCACTTGGACACCGAATAATCGCACCTCCACCCTCTGATTTTGTAAACCAGTAAAATGCAGGTTTCTGCCAGTAAAAAAGGATGCCTGTAGAAAGGAGCCCTCCTTAATGTCAGTGCACCATATTTTAAATGCACTTGAATAAGCCTTTTCACAGTGATCCGTGAACATGTAGACTGGGCAGTTGCTCAAGCCAAACTTTAAATAACTTTATTTCACTGGAGTCTAATCAAATTAGATAGGTGTCTGTTAGAGCAAAATCTGCCTAAGAACCATTCCTTTTTTGTTTGCTTTTGTTTTGTAAAACTAGCCACACAAAACTGAAGCTCCCCAGACAAAGTTAAACAAAGCAGTGAGATTACAGATCAGTTTGACTCTTAAGTCTGCTTTTTTTGGCCTTGAACCATCAACAGCCCTCCTTTTTGAGGAGACAGATATGAGAAAAAGCCTTTTTATAGTTTTCAATTAATAAACAAAGGCATGATTCTACTGTGAAAAATATGCTAACAAGAAAAAAAAAGCATCCATGACCCTTTACTCCAACAGGTAAGATTTCTGTGAGCATCCAAGTCATATTAAGTATTAATGAAGAGCCCGCAGAGCAAGCTGGGAGTCTATCAGGCTCCCTTCTCTGTTTGCAGAGATCCCACTCCATCAGTGATCTTATTTTATATAGAGTCACAGGCAGAAAAAGTGAGTAATGGAAGATAATCATAGAATCATAGAATCGTTTAAGTTGGAAAACACCTTTAAGATCATCAAGTCCAACCGTTAACCTAGCACTGCCAAGTCCACCACTAAACCATGTCCCTAAGTGCCACATCTACACGTCTTTCAAATACCTCCAGGGATGGTGACTCAACCACTCCCCTGGGCAGCCCATTCCAGTGCTTGACAACAATGCTTTCAGTGAAGAAATTTTTCCT